TCGAGGAAGGTTTGCTTTGGCGAGTCGTAGGGGCTAGGGGGGGGGGGGCGACCTTAGGAAGGGAGAGGGAGGCAAGGGCGCCGGTTCTCCTATTGACTGAAGGTTTAAGTGATACAGGTAGATGATTTCTGTTACCTTTTTGGGGTGGTATTTCTTTCTGTTCTTGTTTTTTTTTTTCCTTTCTCTTTTCTTCGTATGTCTCTCTGAATCTCTCTCTCTCTCTGTCTATCTATCTATCTATCTATTTAACTCTTTATCAACCTATCCTTTCTCTCTCTCTCTCTCTCTCTCTCTCTCTCTCTCTCTCTCTCTCTCTCTCTCTCTCTCTCTCTCTCTCTCTCTCTCTCTCTCTCTCTCTACCTACCTACTACCTATATATTCTCCCTCACTCCCATCCATTGATTTGTAATGTATAATTGTTGTTTACTTTATAAAAATTATCTGTATATTTATTTTTCGTTTAATCACCCACAATCAAAATATGAAAAGCGTTAATTATCCTAAGTGACACAGCTTTGTGATTTTATTCTCCTTCTTTTGCCTCACCACTCATTCGTCACGCTACTCTTAACGCATCCTGCTTTTCATTCTTCGTGTTATTCCCTTTCCATTCCTTCCCTTTCACAGACTCCGCCGCCCTTCCACTTCTGTCAATAGGCTTTTTTTCCCCTCGTGTCTCCCTCCCCTACAGCCCTCCCACCCCACCCCTCTCCCTAATCCGTCGGGTAAGCTGTCTTTCCTCCTTTTCCTCCCTTCGGCCATCGGGCTACTTGCACGTTCGCTCGCTATTTCGGTCTGAGGTTTTCTAACTTCCTTTAGCAGTTCTCCCTTGTTTACTTCCGCTCCGCCCCCACCTTCTTCCTTTTATTTCGTTTTCTTTCTATCCCTATTCCCCTTTTCTCTCATCCTTATCCTTCGTCTCCGGTCCCTCCCCCACCTCCTTTTCCACTACAACCATAAAACAATTTCTCTGTCCCCATTCCTCTCAGCCTCCGCCCCACAAGCCCCTCCCCATTCCTCACAGCCCCCAACCCCCCACAAACTTCCCCCCATCCCTCAATCGCCCCTCCCCATCCCCCAAAAGCCCCTCCCCATCCCTCATTCGCACCTCCCAACCCCCTCAAACCTCTCGCTATCCCTCACAGCCCCCCAATTCCTTACAGCCCCCCAACCCACAAACCTCCCCTCCATCCCTCATAGCCCCTCCCCCATCCCTAACAGCCCCTCCCATCCTCACTCGCCTCCCCAACCCCCACAAACCTCCCCCCATCCCTTACTCGCCCTCCCCATTCCCAACAAGCCCCTCACTCCCATCCCTCACAGCCCCCCTAACCCCCACAAATCTCCCCCCATCCTCACCGCCCCCACCCCCACAAACCTCCCCCCATCCCTCCCCCATCCCCTCAAATCCCCCCCGCGCCCTCCCTATCCCTATCCCTATCCCTCACAGACCCCTCTACCCCAAACCACTCTACAAAGCCGCCTCTAATCTCCCCCCGCCCTCTCTCTCTCCCCCACAACCTCCCCCCATCCCTCACAGTCCCCTTCCCAACCCCTACAACCCTCCCCCATCCTCACAGCCCTCCCCAAACCCCAAATTCCCTCCAGCCCCCATCCCTCATCCCCATCCCTCACAAGCCCTCTACCCCCCAACCACTCCACAAAGCCGCCCCTAATCTCCCCCCCGCCCCTCTCTCTCTCCCCCACCAGAGCGTGTTCAGCCACGAAGGGATGACTGGGGTCTGTCCTCGCCTCACCGTGACGAGCCTTGGCCTGACTCCCGGCCTCGGTCACCCTCTTCTTCGTGCTCTTCGTCTTCTTCGCGCTCCACGTCATGGACAGGCAGGTGGGTGCTGTGCTGGAGAGGAAGGGGGGAGGAAGGGGGGGGATGGTGGAGAGGGGGAGGAGGAGGTGAAGATGGGGTGGAGAGGGGGGGAGACGGGATGGGAGAGGGCAGGGAGGGCAGAATGGGGGGGGGAAAGGGAGATGGACAAGGGGGGGAGGGGGGAAGGAGGAGGAGATGGGAGGAAGGGGGGGGACAGGATGGAGGAGGAGGAGGGTGGGGGAGGGGGAAGGAGGAGGAGATGGGAGGGAAGAGGGGGAGGAGGAGAGGGGAGGAGGAGGAGGAAGGGGGGAGGAGGAAAGGAGGAGGACAGATGGGGGAAGGGGGAGGTGGGAGAGGAGGAGGGAGGAAGGGAAGGGTAGATAGGGGGGGGGGGATGAGGAGGAGGGGACAGATGGGGGGGGTAAGGGGAGGGGGCAAGGGCAGATGGGGACGGATGGGGGGTGGGAGGCTGGAGAGGGGGGGAGGAGGAGGAGGACAGATGGGGGGGAGGAGGAGGATAGGGATTGGGGGAGGGGGGAAGGGGGGAGGGAGGAGGAGGGACAGTGGGGAGGAGGAGGGAGCATGGAGGGAGGAGGAGGAGGAGGACATGTTGGGGGGAGATGCAGGAGGGGAGGAGGAGGACGATGGAAGGGGAAGAGAGGGACGGGGAAGGAAGGGGAGGGTATTGAAGAAGAAGGGAAGAAGAAGTAAGTAGCGAGGGAGAGGAGGGAAAGAGTAGGGGCGATAGTAAATAGTGGAGAAGAAAAAAAATGAGAGGAGAGAGAATGGAGTAGAGAGATAGAAGAAAGAAAAATAGGTAGAACGAGAGAAAAGAGACAGGGACAACCAGACAACAGGATAGATATATATATAGGATATGGTTGACACAAAAAAATAGTGTCAGGTAAATAAAATCAAAAAAACAAACAAAGACATACAAAAGCCTAAAATAAATAAAAGAAAAAAAGAATAAAACGAAGGAAAAAAAACAAAAATAGCAAGAAATATCACACGACCCACACGCCATACCCAAAGCACTCACAGCGGCCCCCCAACCTCCTGCAGATGGAGTACATAATGCGTCTGGACTTCCAATGGAAACAGCAGCTGGAGGCGGAGCAGAAGGAGGCACAAACCACGCACTTCGCCAACAAACTCCTCCTCCAGAACATCCTTCCCCTTCACGTCGGTAAGTAGCCGCGGGCAAACGGGTAAAGAGGTTGTGTCAATAGGTCCTCTTTGTGGGTCCTATATTGGTACGTTTTTCTTGGTAGAAGGGACGAAGGTGGAGCTTGTGGCGGCTGCCTCCTGTTAGCTGCTCTGGCGGTTTTTGCGATTTGTTTTATATACATATATGTGTGCACATATGTGTATATGTGTATATATAAATATAGATGGATAGATAGATAGATATAGATGTATATTATATATGTGTATGTTTTTTTTTCTTTTTCTGCTCTCTCTCCATCGTGTCTGTTGCTGTCTGTCCTGTCTTGTCTGGTCTGTCTGTCGCTGTCTGTTCTTGTCTGTCTGCTGCTGCTCTCTCTAATCTCGTCTCTCTCTCCTCTCTCTCTGTCGTCTCTCTCTCTGCTGCTGTCTCTCGACTCTCTCTTTTCTCCTTTCTCTCTCTCTCTTCGTCTTTCTCTTCTCTCTCCTCTCTCTCGTGCTCTCGCTCTTTCTCTCTCTCTCTCTCTCTCTCTCTACTTCTCTCTCTCTGCTCTCTTCTCCTCTCTCTCTGCGTCTCTCTCTCTCTCTCCTCTCTCTTCTTCTCTCTCTCTCTTTGAGATTTATTGGAATGAAAAGTTAGTTTTGATATCCATTGTTGTGGCTTAAAGAAATTTGGTATTGATTTGTGATTTGAAGAAGGATATCTTATTTTTCTGTCCTGTTTGAATTCTCACTCCCTCTCTTTCCTTTTGCAGTCTCCTATACTACTTCCCTTCCTTTCTCTCTCTCTTCTCTCTGTCAGTCTCTTCTCTCCCTCAGTCCTTCCCTCTCAGTTTATTTCTTTTTCTCTCTCTCTTCTCTCTCTCTCCCCTCCCTCCCTCTTCCCTCTCCCTCATCGTCCACCCACGCTCGCACACCTCCCCTCGCCCTCCCCTCCCTCACTTACCCTCTCTCCGTACCCCAAACAGCGGACATGTAACCTCAACCGACAAGGAGGACGGACGAACTGTACCACGAGTCGTACCAACACGTCGGGGTGATCTTCGCGTCCATCCCGAACTACGGAGAGTTCTACCGCGAGAATGAGATGAATGAGGATGGGAAGATGTGTCTCAAGGTCCTCAACGAAATCATCTCCGATTTCGATATGGTGAGGGTGAGAGGGAGAGAGGGACGGAGGAATGGGGGGAAGGGAAAGAGGAGGAGGAGGAAGAGGAGAAGGGAAGATCAAAGGGAGGAGGAGGAATAAGAGGAAAAAGAGGGGGGAGGGTGGGAGAAGGGAAGATTAGAAGGAGAGGAGGAATAGGAGGACATGAGAGGAGGAGAAGGGAAGATCAGAAAAGGTGGAGGAGGAATAGGAGAAAATAAGGAGGAGTAGGAGAAGGAGGAAGAGGAAGATTCAGAGGGAGGAGGAAGGAATAGGAGGAAAAAATGAGGAGGAGGACGAGGGGAAGATCAAGGGACGAAGGGAGAATATAAGAGGAAAAGGAGGAGGAGAAGGAGAAGAAGGGAAGATCAGAGGGATAAGGGGATAGAGAAAGGGGTGATGGGGAAGGTTGAACAGGGGAATGGAAAAGGAGAAGTGGAGAAATGAGAAACTGGGGATGGATGTCGGAGAAGGAGGGAGAGAAGAAAGGGAAAGGAGAAGAGGACTACAAAAGCGAAGAAAAGAAAGAGAAGAAGGAGAAAAAGGGAGAAAAGGAAAGGGTAGAAAAAGGAGAGGGAGTAGATAACATGCAGGAATAAGGAGGAGAAGAGGAGAAAAGGAGATCAGAAGAGCTTGGGAAAGGAAGGACAGGAATTAGGAGAAAAGGGAGGGAATAAGAGAAAAACGAAAAATGATAGAAAAGCGAGATAAAATAAACAGCAGGAGGAAAAAGTTTATTTAGAAAGCAGAATAATATAAGAGACAGAGAAAATATGCGATATCACAAGACAAGAAATGGGAAAATGGGTATGTTAATAAGAGATAACAAAAGTGATAACAAAACCACAGAAAAACAACAGAAAAAGAGATATAGCAGCGAAAGGAAGAACAGGGAAATACTATGTATTACGTGTTTCCCTTTCCTTCGGTCTTCTGTTCACAGCTTGTTCAGATTTAATTCATTTTCATAAATGGATATATAGAATGAGAGAGGATGAGATATAAAGAAAGGGGGATATATCGAGAGAGGTGTGTAGATAGATATAAAAATATCTAAATTTTTATAATAAATATATTTTAATAATAGATATATCTAAATAAATATGGAAATTACAAAAAGATAGATAGGGCAGAGAGGAGAGAGGGAGAGGGAGAGGGAGGGTGGGGGAGAAAAAGAGGGCGGGAGGGGAGAAGGTGAGAGGAAGAGGGAGAGGGGGAGATATAGAGGGTAGAAGAGGGGAGAAAGAAAGGAGAGAGTGAGAGAGAGAAGAGAGTAAGGGAGAAAGAGTAAAAAGGGAGTGGAAGGGAGGAGTTTTTGATAGACGGCCTGCGTCCTTTGTTTCTGGATATCTGGCTTTTTTTATGCTCATTTCGTCTCCCTGATTATGAATTCAAAATAAACAAAAATACCCCCCCCCTATACCATAACCAAAAGAACACGCACAACACTTGCCAAACCAGACAACCTAACAGCCAAATCACCGACTCCGCTGCTCCCATAGAGCTTGTGATATTTGCGATCGTGACTTATATCTCTCGCTACGTCAGTCTTCGCCACGCAAGATAAACATAACAACAATAACAACCACAATACCACATAAACGGGCAACAGTAGCAACAATAACAACCTCTCCCCTCCCGTTTACTCCTAACCTATAGCTATCTATAATCTATAAGTTGTATGCATAAATATGAACTTAACTGCTCATGAATTCTCTCTCTCTGTCCCATCCCAGCTTTATTAACTTCTCTGCTCATAAATTCTCTCTCTATCCCATCCCAGCTGACATACGACGCGCCGTTCCTGACCATGGAGAAGATCAAGGTGGTGGGCAGCACCTACATGGCCGCCTGTGGCCCAGCCCGAAGGAAGGTACAGCGACGACTCCAACTTCGAGGGAGGGAAGCAAGGAGAACGTTGGCCCCACCATCACCAAGTTTGCGGCGGCCATGTTCGAGAAGCTCAAGGCCATGAACAGAGAACACTTGCAGGATTTTCGGCTGAGAGTGGGTGAGTCGGGGGGAGGGGAGAGGGGAGAGGGAGGGGGTGGGGTGCCGGTATGTCACAGCAGTGTTTCCTCAAACTTTTTTGGGTGCGACCCTAATGATAGTCTTAGCCTGGGCTGGCGACCCTGAATGTGTGAATATGTAGTGATATATGCAACCGTTTTCATGGTAGTTACACTTGAAGTAATATATTAGTTTAAGCTATTCTATACTTCTATTAATTTTACTCAACCAACCCACAATGAAATTCAATAAACGTTAACAAAAAAACATTAACTTTTCGCTGCATATTCCAGCTTATGGATTCCTTTGGAAATTCAATCTCCTGGTTTTCTTTTTATTCTTCTTTCGGCGCCCTCTTCAGAAAATCCTGGTGACCCTTATTTGGGTTTCAAGGTTTTTACTGGAATGAGGGTGGTAATGAATGATATTAATGGTGATATTGAGGGTAAACTAATAGTAATTGATAAATATCCTAAGGATGAAGATAAATGGATGATGAATGTAAAATATGGATAATAGCGATTATAGATAATGCTTATAAAGATAAATTCCGCGTTAAATAATGATGACGATGATGATGATAATGATAATGGGGTAAATTGGTGGATAGCAAGTTGAATATTGATGGGATAATGCTTATGCTAATAATAATAATTAATAATAATTGAATTAATTATTATATTATTATTATTATTATTATTATTATACAATAATAATGAAAGTAATAAAAATAATCAATCACATTAATTAATAAGGTAGTAATGAAAATGACAGTATGATAATAACAGGCCATAGTGGTGATAACAGGTCAATACCAATTAATAATAAAAATTAGGATAATTTATCAATATTATACTAATGAACAAAATTGACAAGACTGATTGTATTGTATCCTTTACAAATATTAACGGCACTAATTATACCGTCGCCAAAGGAACGTGATAATGGAAGCTGTCATCTTCGTCACCATCACATAACCGCCATTATTTCGCTCCAGGGATCGACGTGGGACCAGTCATCGCGGGCGTGGTGGGCGCCCATAAGCCTATGTATGATATTTGGGGGGACACCGTCAACGTCGCCTCCAGGATGGACTACACGGGGGAGATGGGGAAAATTCATGTAAGAAATTTGGGTTTTTTGATTGGATATTTCGAATTATCGCTGTGTCTATATATGTACATTATAAGATATATATATATATATGTGTATATTATATATATATATATATATATATACTATATATATTATATAATATATATATATATATATATTATATATGCAAAATCTTGATTTCGATCAGTATCAATATTTCTTTACTGATGAAATTGTCCATATTCTTGTTTAAAGTGGCAGTACCAATGTTCGAATGAAGCCGTTGCATTTGCTTTCCAATTTATAAAAACATTTATGTGTAACACGTACATGTTATTATTGTTTACTGAATACAACTGACCCCTTCCTTCTTCCTTTAGGTGACGAAGGAAGTGGGCGAAATCCTGCAGGAGCAAGGCTGGGGCGTGGAGTGTCGCGGCGAGATCTACGTGAAGGGCAAGGGCCACATGGTCACCTACTTCGTGGACCCGACGCAGCCGCCCCCAAGGACGTCCTCCGACGCCCACACGGAGTCGAACAACAACGTGAACCCGGGCCTCAAAGCCAGCAACCACATCATCAACAACAACAACAACAAGACGTCGAAGGAGGCGGAGGGCGGCGAGCAGCCCAAGCGAAGGAGCAGCCAGATGAGCCTCAACTCCCTGAAGGGGTACCTGTCGCCGCACCGAGGGAGCCTTGAGATCAGCCGGGGAAAGGGCGCCAGCGGAGACAGCAGCAGCCTGTCGTCCAATTACCGCAGGAGGAATGACAGCTTCGACGACAGCCGGGATGGAAAGAGGTCCCGGGGCTCCTCCCCGCGCAACAGCGACGATTCGGGGGCGTCGGGCAACCTGCAAGGGCGCCAGGGACCCCCGGCGACGGAGGCGGCAGCCCCTGCGAAGCGAGCCTACTTTAACCTCAGCGAAGATGACTTCGCCAAGTACAACCCCTCCTTCGACAAAGAGGACGAGCGGCCCGCCTTCCCGACTTCCTTGCGGATCGAGGAGGAGGACGAGCCCGCGGGCCCCGTCGCCAACGGGAACGTCGAGTCGGCCCCGCTGGCGGCGTCGCGGGCCGGGGACGCCACGCGCGGCGCCTCCGACCGCGAGTCGGTGTCCACGCAGAGGAGCAGCATGGCCTCCAGGGCCTCGAGCAAAGGCAGGGTCTTCAGCAGATCGTCGACGTTACGGCAGGTGGACGTGCATCCGCTCGCCCTCCTGAAGGAGCAGGAGTCGGACCGGCCGGCGCACACCGAGCTTTCCATAGACTCTTGCGAGAGCGAGGACATCCGCTTGTGAAGACGGGCCTTGGCTAAAGCGACTGAGAAAAAGTTTATCAAATTAGCGTTTCCTTTTTTCATTCTCTCCAAGAAATAAAAATGAAATACGGAGAAGAGGGAAGAGGAAAGAAATGAAGAGATAAAGTGATACTAGGTAAGGCGATTTGTATTACTTTTGTTAGAGATGAATGTGAAAGCGTGAGCCTCAAATCTCACACGAAAGTGATAAAACGAAAAAGGAAATAAACATTACGAAAAAAATGTTACTTTTTACCTCAAATAAAAACTCTAAAAAGAGTAATTTCGTCCGCAAGTCTAAGAGAACTTTAATTCTTTCTGGAATTTATAATAATTCAGTGGAAGGATTTTTTTTTCTTTTTTTAAGTATACCCATATTGCATCAATAAAAATCATTCTTAAATTTTTGTTTGTGATTATACTATATAATTTTAGATTGTTTTTCATATATTTTTCTTCTGAATGTAAGGCAATTTAATGACCACTTGTGTTTCATTCAAATGTCAGCTTTAACAACTACTGCATTAGGACTTCTTAAAATTAAAAAGTTACTCTTGCCATGGGTTATATGTGCAATAAAATATTTTCTTTTCTTTTATTCATATATAGAGCAGTGAATTTTATTGTGAAGTTGAATATACTATAATATATATAATATTATAATATATATATATAATATATATATATATATATATATATATATATGTANGTCGCTGCGGTTCCTGTGGCGGCGCAGGTGTGTCCAGTATGCAAGGGGAGGTGGGCCGCCAGGAGGACTCGCATGTGTAATGTGGGTCTCGTCATTAACCGCTTCGGGGGACCTTTGAGAGCGTCCATTTTGTTTTCGTGCGTCATTACCGGTGTCATACATTCGTCTCTCCGGTCGTTACGCAGCGGCCGCCATGATGAAAATCGTCATACGAAAGGCATGAACTAGAATCGAAACGGGAAAATCTGAAGAATGAACTTTATAAATATCACAGCCCAACTACGCTAGACTTTAGGATCTTGAAGCTAGCCTGAAGATTAGGAAAAGTGTGGATGCTGCGAGGGAGGGAGGAGGGAGAAGGAGGAGGAGGAAGGAAGGAGGAGAGGGAGGGGAGAAGGGAGGAGGGAGGGAAGCGAAGGAGAAGGAGGAGTAATGAGGGAGCGAGAGGAGGAGCGAGGGAGGAGGTAATGAGGAGCGAAGGAGAGGGGAGGAAGGGAGGAGGGGAGGAGGAGGAGCGATGGAGGAAGGAGGAGGAGGAGGAGGGAAGAGGAATGCGAAGGAGGAGGAGAAGGTAAGAGGCGAAGAGGGAGCGAGGGAGAGTAATGAGGAGCGAAGGAGGAAGAGGAGGGAGCGGAGAGGGGGAGGGAGGAGGGAGGAGGTAATGAGGGAAGCGAGGGAACGAGGGAGGGAGCGAGAGGGAGGAAGGAGGAGGAGCGAGGATGACAAGGAGGGAGAGGAGGAGAGGGAGGGAAGGCGAATGTGAGAATGAAGTAGGCGGTGTGGGTGTTATCACAGCATTAACCAGCTGGACAGGTCCGGGGGCTGTCAAAGTCAACCTTTTGATGCCCACTTCACTCTCGTAACCCCTCCCCCCCCTCTCCCCCTCTCCACCCCCCGCTCCCCCCCCCTTCTCCCCTTCCCCCGTGGTATCGCTCACACTCTCCCCTTTTTTTCTTCGTCTTTGTGATAATTTACACGCTATCAACACGTCATAAAAGAGACTGTCCACGCAAGCGGCTGCCCCTCTGTCGCTCTTTTTGTGCATAACCTTTTTTCGTCTTATTCAGAATTCAACCTTTTTCTTATTCTATTCAGAAATCAACTTGTTTTTGTTTTGTTTATAAATCAACTTTTTGTTGTTGTTTTATTCGGAAATCAATTTTGTTGTTTTCAAAAATGTTTTTTTTATTCGGAAATCAATTTTGTTTTGTTTTATTCAAAATCATTTTTGTTGTTGTATTCGGAAATCAATTTGTTGTTATTCAAAAATCATTTTGTTGTGAAAATCAATTTATTCAATCGGAAATCAATTTTTTGTTTTATTCAAAAATCATCTTTTTGTTGTTTTATTCAGAGATCAACTTTTTTTTTTGTTTTCTTTTCTTTTTATTTGGCTGGTGATAATAGGACGGCTGTGGCGCTGGTGTTTAAGTCGGACTATCATTAAGGGAACTGATATCTAAATTAACTTGACAAGACTTTTATGAAATTGGCGCAGCTATCAATAAGTCTTATCTGTCTAGTCGTAATGATGTTGTTGGGGATTACATTAACGATGATGATAATAATGATGATAATGATAATGATAATAGTGATTGTGATAGTAATTATAGGGATAACAATAATGATAAAAAATCAGCTTTAGCAACAGCAACAACAAAGAATCAAACTCATTGCAAAAACGTTAATGATTATCATAATTGAAATCAATATCTTCATTATCTTTGTTATCATTGATATCATCGTTATTACTGTTGTTAGCATCATTATTATCATCATTATTATTGTTGTTAATATGATCATTTTTATTTATCATTACCATTGTTCTTATTGTTGTCATTATAATTATAATAATAACAATGTTGATAATGATAATCATAATTGCTATCATCATCGTTATCATTCTTGTTTGTATTGTTGTTAGCATTATGATAAGTAGTATCATTATGGTGATTTTAATCAATATCATCGTCATTATTATTTTTTTGGTATAATAACTTTGCTATCATTATCATTATTATCATGTTATAATTATAATTATTTTTTCCTTTATTATCCTTTTAATAAAACATAAAAAGGGTAATCATTACTGTCATCATTATCTTTAACCTTACGATTTCTATTATTATCATTGTTATAATAATAATAATAATAATAATAATAATAATAATAATAATAATAATAATAATAATAATAATAATAATAATAATAATAATAATAATAAATAATAATAATAATAATAATAAATAATTATTATTTATCATATCATTATTACTATTATATCATGATGATAATAATAACAATGATAATGGTAATGATAAAGATAATGATATTGAAATAATAATAATGATAATATTAACAACAATAATAATGATAATAGTAATAGTGATAAAGATAATGACAGTGATGACAATAATGATAATAGTAATGATAATGATTATCATGGTTGTCTTTATCATCGTTAATATTATTGCTATTATTATCATTATTATTATTATTATTATTATTATTATTATCATAATTATTATTACCATTATTATTATTATTACCATTATTTATTATTATTATTATTATATTAATTATTATTATTATTATATTATTATTATTATATTATCATATTATTATATCACATATCATCATTATCATTATAGCTATTACTTTTGCTATTACTATCATTGCTATTATTATTATCATCATTATCTATGTTATCATTGTTAATATTATTACTACTGTTGTTACTGTTAATCTCACTATTATTATCATTACCATTATCATGATTATTGTTGTTATTATTATTATTATTATTATTATTATTGTTATTATTATTATTATTATTATTATTATTATTATCATCATCATCATCATCTTTATTATTGTCATCGTCATTATTGTTATTATCATTACTATCATCGTTATTATTGATATTATCATTATTATTTTTTTATCATCATAAATTTTAAATATTTTTGTTATTACTACTGTTAACATTATTGTTATTGTTATTATTATTATTATTATCATTTCATTGTTAGTAGTACCATTATCATTATTTTCATTGTTCTTATTGTTGCCATCTTTATCATTATCATTGTTATTGGTAGAATTATTATCATTATTATCATTATCATTATCATTATTCTCATTATCATTATTATTATCATTATTTATTATCATTATTATTATTATTATTATTATTATTATTATATTATTATTATTATTATTATTATTATATTAAATATCGTTTTTGTTATTTTTATTATTATCTTTATCATTATCATTATCATTATTATCATCATTACTTATGAATATTATTATCATTATCACCATTTTAGTTATCGTTACTACTATCATTTTATTTTCATTTTCATTACCATTAAGACAACAATGATAACAATGATTATTATAAATATTGTTAACATACCATTAATGTTATCGTTGTTATCGTTATTATCATTAGTTATTATTATAGAGAGAGAGAGAGAGAGAGAGAGAGAGAGAGAGAGAGAGAGAGAGAGAGAGAGAGAGAGAGAGAGAGAGAGAGAGAGAGAGAGAGAGAGAGAGAGAGAAAAAGAAAGAGAAAGAGAGAGAAAGCGTAAGACAGAGAGACAGAAAGAGATGAGGGAGATCATGCGATAGCGAGACACAATATAGACAAACGAAAAAAAGGGAGTTGATAAAGCCATACCTGAAGACAAGGAACAAGACATCCACACCCCCTTAGCCCCCTCCTTCCCCCCTACCCATCCCCCCCTTTACCCTTATGGCCTCGACTGGACAGGTAGAGAGAACCCTTCTTCCTCTCTATCTCTATCTCTCCCTTCTCATTAAATAATAAAAAAAAAGAAACACGGCAACCCTCCTCTCCCCTATGCCCCTCTATCTAACTCCCCCCCTTCCCTCCACCCAAGCCCACCCTCTCCCTTCCCACTCCTCCTTACGCCCTTCTCCCTCCTTTACGCCCTGCTCCCTCCCCCCCTCACGCCCATCCTCCGCCCGCCCGCCCCCCTTTTTGCTATCATTCTCGATACCAATATTTATGTCTGAGCGCCAGGGATTGCGTGCTCAGCCTCTCAGATAAGCCCTTTTAGAATTAATGAGCGCCCCACACGGCAGCCTCCCCGGGTATGGTCTTGAGATGCCCGTGTTTGGGGGAGAAGGGGGGTGGGGTGCCGGGTGCGGGTGGATGGGAGGGGGATGGGAGGGGGTGGGAGGGGTGCGAGAGAAGGGTGGAGGTGGAAGGGTGGAGGGGGTGCGGAGAGAAGGGGGGAGGTGGCGAGAGAAGGGTGCGGAGGGGGTGGGGGTGCGAGAGAAAGGTGGAGGGGTGGGGTTCGAAGGGGTGGGAGGGGTATAGGGGTGCGAGAGGAGGGATGGTGGGTTTGGTAAGTAGGGGTAGGGGTGTATGGTTGGAGGATGGGGGAATAGGGTATCAGTAGAAGGGGGGTTGGGTAGGGGTACGAAGAAGGGTTAGGATGAGGTAGGAGGTGCGAGAGGGGAGAGGAGGGTGCGGAGAGGAGGGCTGGGGAGAGGGGGGGGGAGAGTTGGGATGCAATAAAAGGAGAGGAAGGGGATGGTTAGGGATGCGAGAGGAAAGGTGGAGGGGAGGGGGACGATAGAGGGGGTTGGGGTAGGCGGGGGTTGATGATGGGGAGAGGGAGTGAGATGCTGGCGGTCTGATAATTCTTTTTTCTCTCTCTCTCCCTCCTTTCTCCTCTTTCCCTAATTTTCCGGTTCTTTGTTCAAAATTCAGTCATTGATTTTCTTTATCAGTGATATCATGAGTAATAATGATGGTAGTGACTGATTATGAAAATATTAACAAGAATAATGATGATGGAAATATTAACGATGGCAATGATAATGAAAATAACATTGATAATGATAGTGGAAATAACAATGATAATGATGATGGAAATAACAAAG